TTTTGCGGAACAGGTTACCAGGTCTCCTCTGAGCTTGGATGGGGATGGGCTCAAGCCTCCAATTTGGTTAGTGGCTAAGTGCCTTACCATTGTACCACACCAGGGCTCCCGGCAATGAAATGCAAACCCAAGGCAAACCAACTGATCACGTCAAGGCCATGCCAATTCACATGCAGTCTGTGGGAGAGAACTGCTCCATCGTTTCCTGGGCTGTCAATCGGACTGCCGGCCTAACAGTTAGCAGCCCAGTTCGTGCCTTGCTACGGGGTCAGCCAGCGGAGGGAAGGCGGGCCCACTTTGTAAATGCCGGTCTCCTCGTGCCAAATTGCACGCTCCCGGATCCGGGCCCCCACCCCACTCCCCCCGTGGGAAAGCGTAGCTCTCGTTCCACCCTCACCCCCACGGGCCCGCTGCGGGCTGTGCTTGTCGGAGCCGGTCTCGGGCGCGCATCCCACAATTCAGGAAAGCACGCACGTGCAGAACCGCTCCATTTGTTTCTCTCCCTGCGTCCAGGTGGCCCGAGCCTCGCCCTAGGTTCCCACGGCACCCGCGGCTGACAGAGCCCAACTCTTCGCGGCGGCATTGGGAACCTCCGGAGGGAGTCCCGGGCCGACCGCGGCCTCCAGGCGGGGCGCGGCGCAAGGCGGGCGGGCCACGGCAGGTCCCCGGGCGGAGAGCGGCCTGCGGCTGACATTTTTTGGTTCGCAGTTCATTGTCCAGTCGGCGGCGGTAGGCCGAGGCTTTTCCCGCCCGCTGAAAGTCAGCGAGAAAAACAACGCGCGGGGGACAAAAGCACAGCACCTACGCCCTTCTCAGTTAGGGTTAGGTCACAGGCGGCCGCCACCCGACCCGGGGCCTCCTCCACAGCCCACCCGGCCGGAAGCGCGCGGGCTTCGGCCTTATAAAGGGAATGGCCGTCGCCCGCGCTGATTGGCCAGGATCCTCTCGCGCTCAGGTGTCGCGAGAGCTGCTCCGCCCCGCCCCCATTCCCTTCCTTCCTCGCCCATCACCCTGTTTTTTTGAAAACTAGGCTCTAGTTTGGGCTGGACAGTCCGATTTTTCACAATTTTTCCCACGTCCTGCGGCATTTTAAAAATGTCCTGGTTTTTGGAAAGAATGTACGACAAGCTAGAGTATATGGTTTTCGGCTGCCATGTGGCTATTTTACCAGGATATGAGTTTTATCAATGGTGTCCCGCTTTACCAATGTTAAAATCTGGTCACCTTAGTTTAAGGTCCCCTAGCCCGACACTTCTACCATGGACCAGCATCCAAGGAAGCTTTGTGAGGTTAACCTGGCGTCGTTTTCTTTTTAAAAGAAGTTCATAAACAATTAGGACCTTAGGACAGAGAGACAGGAGAATGTGTATGATTTCCAAGTTTGCTTGGTCGTCCTATTTCTGGAAAATTGTAGAATACCAGGCTCCCAGGCAGCACCCATCCAGAACTATAAATCCACTGTCACCGATTCGTAGGACTCACATAGGATGTAGAACTACCCTATCTGTAGTAAGTTTCTGAGATTATGACTTTACGGGAGTAGAAAGCCCCATCTTTCTCCCTCGGAAAGAAGCCCCTTGTGGTTACGAGTTGACCTGGGATCCACGAGGTCAGTAGTTCGAAACCACCAGTGGCTGCTCAGGAGAAAGACGGGCCTTTCAACTCCCACATATACAGTCTCGGATCTCACAGATCTATCCTGTCCTATAGGGTCGCTTTGAGTACACATTGAACCCACGGCAGTGTTTGCGTTTTTCCCCACGGAGCAGGGGGTGGTTTCGAACTGATCTTGACCAAACGTGCTTGCTCAGATAGCCTTTGGAAAATAATTTTTCTGCACCTTATGCAGACTAGTCTTGCTTATAAACCTTGAAATGGAAGACAAGTGCCACGGCAGCCCAAGTTACTTTCTGCTCACTCTGTATGCACCTTTGGGCCTTTGCCCTGTTGTTTCTGCTATTAGTGTGTTTCTGGTTAATTCTCTATGCCTCTAGTTGATTCTGTATGCCTATAGAGAGTCGCTATGATTCGAAATAGACTACATGGCTGTAAGTTTGACTTTTATATACCTATTGACAAGGATACACTTTGGAGAGACCAGTCCCTAGAGAAGGATCTCATGCTTGGTGAGGAAAAAAGGCAGTGAAAAATAGGAAAACCGTGGAGGAGAACGGCTGGCACAGTGGTTGCAATCATGGGCTCAAACTTAACAATTGTGAGGAAGGTGCAGGACTTAGTAGAATTTCACTTTGTGGTGCATGGAGTCTCTATGAGCTGGAAGTGACTTGATGGCACCTAACAACATCAGGGAAGGGGACAGAGATGAAAAGGAAAAGATCACAACCCCTGGGTGCTAAGATCTTTTATATACTGAGAGGGAAAGATGAGCAAATCAAAACATGAAGCTCTGTAATCGACAGAAGGTATAAAATGTACTAGCAGACACAGGAATAATCAGTGAGTACTCTATAGAAGAAATGGCATGAGCCAGGCTTGTACATTCTATAATTTTGTAAGCAAAAAAAATGGCATTAAAAAAAACCTCTGTCTTTAAGTGCATTATCTCATTTGAACTTCAAAACGATTGGGTGAGACAAAGATTAGCATCTCCATTTTACAGGTGAGGAAACTGATCTTCAGAATATTTAAGTCATTGGCTTAGGTTACACAGCTGGTAAGTGACAAGATCTGGATTGAAGATGCATGCTGCCCCTAAATTCAGAGGGAAGGACATTACAGTAGATTTAAGGTCCATCCACTTAACCAAATCTGTAAGTCTCCTTTGAGACCATCAGCTGGTATGTTCCTTTCTACAAATTCCCAGAGCCTTTTATTCTTCTCTTAGGACACTAGCTCACTTTCTGCCTTGCATTGTTTTAATTTAGGCATGAATTCCATTTCTACTGGACGACCAGCTTCTTCTTAAGAGCAGAATCTGGCTGTTGCTGTAGCACTTATTATACTTAGCACAGTGCCTTGCAGAGTAAATACTAAATACTTACATTAGAAAAGTTGGCTCCCCATTTATGAGACTCGACATCCCTCACTGACCCATAGCCCTACAGGAGACAACACTGGAGACACAGTGAGGGAATTGTGCCCAATCTGATCCCAACACACCAAAGCAAAACAGGGCGTACAACAGAAGAGCAAGGGGAACAGGGCAAGGAAGTCCCCAGGGAATACCAAAAATAGACTTTGGGGCCAGGGCTTGGCAGCCCATCAGACTCAACCAGAAAACACTCCTAAAGGCCAATAAACAGTCCTTGAACTAACTACAGGCTTTTCTTCCTTGTTGTTTTGTCATTGGCTTTTTGTTGTTGTTTTCTTTTGTTGCTTTGTTTTGCTTTATCTTGTTTTTGTGCATGTTATTATCTCTGCAGGTCTATCTAAATAAGATAGGCTGGATGAACAATCTGGAGGAAAAAACAACGGGACCGATGGTTCCCGGAGGACATGAGAGAGGGGGAGGTGGGGGGGTAAGGAAGTGGTGTTAACAAACCCAGGGGCAAGGTAACAAGAGATCCAAATCGGTGGTGAGGGTGTAGGAGGCCTGGTAGGGCATGATCAAGGTAATGTAACCAAGAGGAATTACTGAAACCCAAGTGAAGGTTGAACATGATAGTGGGACGAGAAACGCAAAAGGAAATGGAGGAAAGAACTAGGAGGCAAAGGGCATTTATAGAGGTCTAATAAATGGCTTGTATATATGTAAATATATTTATATGTTAGGATGGGGAGATAGATTTATGTGCATATATTTATAGGTTTATTATTAAGGTAGCAAGAACACTTTGTTCTATTAAACTGGCATTCCATGATGCTCACCTTCCCGACACAATCGCTGAAGATAAAGCAGGTATATAAGCCAAGTGGTGGAGAAAGCTGATGGAGCCTGGCTATCAAAAGATATAGCATCTAGGGTCTTAAAGGCTCGAAGGTAAACAAGCGGCCATCTAGCTCAGAAGCAACAAAGTCCACATGGAAGATGCACACCAGCTTGTGTGATCACGAGGTGTGGAAGGGAGCAGGTATCAGACATCAAAGAACAAAAAATCAAATCATCGTGAGTGAGGAGGGTTGCAGATTGGGGGCCCAAAACCCATCTGTAGGCAACTGGACTTCCCATACAGAAGGGTCGCTGGGAGGAGAGGAGCCACTCAGGGTGCAGGGTAGCAACGATGAAACATTCCCTCTAGTTCCTAAATGCTTCCTCCCCCCCTGCCCCCACCCCCACTATCATGATCCCAATTCTACCTTACAAATCTGGCTAGCCCAGAGGATGTACACTGGTACAGATAGGAACTGGAAACACAGGGCATCCAGGACAGGTGATCCCTTCAGGACCAGTGCTGAGAGTGGTGATACTGGGAGGGTGGGATGGAAAGGGGGAACCAATTACAAGGATCTACATATAACCACCTCCCTGGGTGGGTGGACAAAGGAAAAGTGGGTGAAGGGAGACGTTGGACAGTGTAAGATATGACAAAATAATTTATGAATTATGAAGGGTTCATGAGGAAGGGAAGAGGGGGGAATGAGGAGCTGATACCAAGGGCTCAAGCAGAAAGCAAATGTTTTAAGAATGATGATGGCAACAAATGTACAAATGTGCTTGACATAATGGACGGATGTATGGATTGTGATAAGAGTTGTATGAGCCCCCAATAAAGTGATTTAAAAAAAACCCATGTAGCTCTTAAAGCTTTCCATTCCTTGGCCTTATTCTACCTGCCCAGTCATAGCTCTCACTCAGTACTATGTTTGCAATTTTAACAAATCCAGTCCATTTAGCATGCCTTACTAGGCTTTGTTCTTTTCATCTGGACTGCGTTACTTATTCCACGATGCTTGCCTGGATAGCCTACTCACCTACGCCCCTCTTTAAAAAATCATTTCCCCCGTGATAAAAAGGCATCAGAGACATGGGCATTCCAGTGATTAAAATAGTTTCTGTTCTTCCAGAAATATATAATATCCAAAGTCTTCTCTGTCCCATATACCCCAAATGTTTGTGCTTTTTAACCATTTTAACTGTGTTTCAGAAGCATCTCCGGTGCACTACGTTGGGTCCGACCTCCTTATATTCTGCAGCAGTGATCCACATGTCATGGAAAGCAGACAGGGATGCAAGAATGGAACCCCCCATCCACACAGACCTCTTCCTTTCAGGGAGAGCTGTAACCTGCACAGGAGTATTGGCAGGCGCCAACTTGGCTATATCCTGGACTAGCCGCTTCTCTAACCCCAGGAAAGATGTTGATCCCCCCGCAAGAACAATATTGGAGAAGAAGGAATTCCTCAGATCGGTATCACACTTCATTATGCTGTTGAAGCACATCTTATCAATGCCGGGGGCGGCGAGGTTCAGGAGACGCGGAGTGAAGAGGGCTTCTGGACAAGCGAAGAGCTCCTTACAGAGCTGGATGGTCTTCCCATCAGGCAGCTGGTACGTTTTCTCCAGACACTCGGGTTTCTGGGCCATTGCCTCCTCATAGTTCGTTGCCACATAACACCAGGTTTCCTTGATGTCCTCGACAATCTTTTTGTCGGTAGCACGGAACAGCGCAATACCACGGTCCTTCAACAATGTCATGAGGTATTTGGTGAGGTCAAGACCTGCCAGGTTTAGCTGCTGGACACCATGAGGCAGACAGTAACCATCAAAGATAGGTATACACTGGGTCACCCCGGCACCCGAATTCAGCACAAAGCCAGTTGTGAAGCCTGAAGCGAACAGTGCCAGGACGCCTTGGATGGACATAAAGAAGGCAGGAACGCCCAGGTGCTCAAAAAACACCTCGCTGGTCTTTTGCCTGTTGACCAGTGGGTTCAGTGCTGGCTCTGTGATCAAGACCGGGCCATCAGAGGGCTTCAGCTTCAGGTTACGGTCATAGACGTGCTTCCACACCGTCTCCATGTCTCCCCAGGAAGTGATGAGACCACGTTCCACTGGGTAGCTGGAGGGAGAACAATAAAATCAATGGCAGTTGTTTATGTTCCGAGTTGCAATTCTTTTCAAATCGGGGTTTGTGCCCCTAAGTATGACCAAGATCCTAGCCTCTGAGGTACGATCGCTATTAACCAAAATGAGAATCACACTGTCCTCTGCAATTTTTACTGCTTTCCATTCTTTCAGGCACCTACCACTCAGCAGCTGTACTTGGCAATAATTTACCCATTTTGTTCGCTTTCACTCAGTTTTTTTTTCTTGAAGTATTTTAAAGCAAACCCTAGACCCGATATCAGGAGGGTCACATCTAAATCGTTTATTTTGCATCCGCAACTGATAAAGCCCAAAGTATTTACCAAATATTTCAAAACTCTATCACATATCAACATGAATAATTTCTCCAAGATTCTATTGTAAACAAAGAAGCAGAAAACGGCCATCCTAACTACGGTAAGTATAAAATTCAGGACCATGAATTACATGCACATGCGCAACCATCACTACTATCTATCTGCAAAAGTTTTCACTGCCTCAGAGAGAAACTCAGGGCCTCTTGAAGCAATCATGACATTTTCCTCCGCTTGCATTCCCTGGTAACCACTAGAAACATTTTTGTCCCCAGACATAATTTTCCTGTTGTAGCTGTCTCCTCCAAGTAGGATCATGCAATGTCTGTTCTTTTGTGTCTGTTTTTATTTAGCATAATGTTTCAAAGCTCACCCATGGCTGTACCATGTATCAACACATTATTTCTGTCTGGCTGAAAAACATTCCATTGTGTCTAGGGGCTGAGGACCGCGGACTCTGAGGATAGCAAAGTCACTTGGCCTAACAGTCCACAGAGACAGTATTCTGCATCCTAGTTTTGTGAGTATCTGAGTGTCGGCGAGGGTCTTTGTGAGTGGTGAGGGAAGATGTAACTATGGGTCTCTCCTTATTTGGAGGAAGGATTAATGAAGTAATCTAAGGCTCTTGGAAAACATTAGTCCAACAGACTAAATAGACCATTGTGAAAGTTAGCCTTAATGATTCTGAGGCCAGAACTGGCTACCACTGCCAACTGCTCTGAGAGGAATCACATTAGAAGCTCCTGAATAGAGGGTGAGAAATATGGGGATCAAAACTCAACAACCAAATGGGAGACCAGGCGTACCAGTCAGACAGAGACTGGTGATACCTCAGGGTCTGGAAATGAACTCACTCTCATTGCTCAGTTTTTCAGCCAATCAGTTGACAGGTTTATAAAGGAAACAGTAACACTAAGGAGGTAGGGCATGCCTTTTGAATACTCAACCATTTGAGGTTAAAAAGGTAGCCTTTACCTAAGGATAAAGTGTAGAAAAGTTAGGAAAGGAGATATGAAAAAGGGAAATACAGAGGAAATGGGATAAATGTTGCACTTAGGGGCATTCTAATAAATGAACGGAAACAAAATTGTTGAATGACTTGCTGAACAGAAAACTGCTTTGTTCTGTAAACCTTGAAATTTCCTTTAAAAGGGTGTAACAAAATATTCCATTATATGTATGTGCCACATTTTGTTTAGTTATTCTTCAGTTGATGGGCACTTGGATTTTATCCTTTTGGCTTTTGTGAACAATGCTGCTATGAACATTGGTGTACACGTTTTAAGTCCCTGCTTGCAAGTCTTTTGCATTCCACCTAGAAATGGAATTGCTGGATCAAGTATATGATTCTATGCTTGATTTTTAATGCAGACATAGTTTTAATATGGTGGTGTGGTGGTTACCAGTTGGTTAATGATCCGGAAACTCGGCAGTTTGAAACCAGCAGCTGCTCCACTGGAGGAAGACCGGGCTTTCTACTTGCCATAAAGAGTAACAGTGTATGTTTACTTGTTTGGTGCAGACCTGGTACCTCTTTTGTGAAGGGCAGCTGAGGAGACTCTGGTGCTCTCCATGGCTGACGAGAAACCCAAGGAAGGAGTCAAGACTGAGAACAATGATCATATTCATTTGAAGGTGGCGGGGCAGGATGGCTCTGTATTGCAGTTTAAGAGTAAGAGGCACACAGCACTTAGTAAACTAAGGAAGGCCTATTGTGAATGACAAGATTTGTCACTGAGGCAGATCAGATTCTGATTTGATGAACAGCTAAGCAATGAAACAGATAGACCTGCACAGTTGGAAATGGAGGATGAAGGTACAATTTGATGTTCTGGCTGCAGACAGGGGACGTCTTCTAAAAGGGGGCCTGCTTTTTTCCTCCAGAACTCTGTTCCTACCGGCCAAGAATACATTCTCTTTTAGACTACCACAACGTGTTTCCACCACATGCTAACTACTACTGTGCGGTTTTCTCTATTTGTCATTTCCCCTTCCCCTTTGCGTCATTGTATATCAAGTCACCGGTGCATGTGCACAAGCTTACTGCATTTTCCCTATTGTTTATTTTTTTGTTTATTTATTTAAACTAAGTGGCCAATGGTATGTTTTGATCGACGTCAAGGGGAGATGGAATCGGAAAATACTGGTTTTGTGAAAACACCCCCTTTCCATCGAGGCATGCTCATTCAGCTCTCCTCTATATTCCAGTACATTATTTTGCTCTCAATGTTTAATTAAAAACAAAAACAAAAAACGACATTAAAAAATCCTTGCATATCTTGTTCGGTTGGGCAATTTTGATGTTTTTCACTCATTGAAAAACTAAGGACAATTTAAAAACTTTTTTGTACATAGCTGTTACATGTAGGGCAATCTGTCTTTATGTAGTGGCAAATTAATCTCAAAGAAATGAAGCCTAGTGCTTTCTTCGGCGGCACATATACTAGAAATGAAGCCTATATGGTTTTTCCTTCAAGGCAAGCATCTTGTTTAAATAAACTTCTATTTTTCGTTTAAAAAAAAAGAAAAAGAGTAACAGTTTAGGATACTCCCGGGATCGCTGATGGCAGTGAATGAGAATTGAAGAAAACAGCCTCATGACAAAGGACCATGAATTCAACAACAATCTTACACGAACTCGGACCAAACCCACTGCCGTGCAATTGATTCCGACTCGTAGCAACCCCGTAGGACAGGCAGAACGAGTCTCGTTAGGGTGTCCAAGGTTGTAATCTTCCTCCTTAGGAAGCACCGACTTTTGGCTTGGCGGCCGAGCGCTTTAGTCACCGCGCCACTACTGCTCCTCTTCATGCACGATCTGTTCCTTTTATGGATGGCAGTCTTGTTTTTACGGTTGAGATACGGCGAGTCGGTCAGGTCTACTGTGTGAATAGCTAGTGGCCATACAGACTGTTGCCCATGCATTTGCAGTCACGCCCACTGGCCTTGAACACTGGCCTTGAACTCACCACTTGGCGCCTTTGTCCCCTTCCCCCGGCGCCTGCCATCCACTTCCACTATCCCCACCCCCCCACCAGCCCCCCGCAGGCCCCGAACCGGCTCCGGGCAGGACTAGCGGCGCCCTCCAGGGCGCTGTACCTGATGGACAGCGAGCCGGGCCCGTCTTGCGCCTGGTCGCCCACGAACAGTTCTTGTGCGCCCGGGGCCTCGGTGCCCTGGCCCCTGGTGCGGCCTACAATGTTCGGGCACACAAACTGGGGCTCCCGGCTGCCGGCCAGGCCCGTCTGGAGCAACCCCGAGCCGTTGTCGATCACCACCGGGAGCTGTCGGGCGCTCATGGCTCCCCGCCGCCCGCTCGGCCGGCCGCTGGGCGAGAACGGAAAGTGCGCGCGGCCGGAACGCCGCGTCACAGAGGCCGGGCTCGGCCGTGCTGCCTGATCGCTCCCTGCCGCGGGGCCCCGGGCCCGCACCGCTCCGCCGCTGGACGCGTCCAGCGCCCCGACAGCCGCCCTCGTCGATCGCGCCGGGCTCCCGACGTGCTCCTTTGAGGGGACGATGCCCAAGCCAGGGAAACCTACGTTGCCTTCAGTGGAGCGTTTTGGAACGGCCCTTCCCAGATGCATTGATCCCAAACCTGGAAGAGCCCTGCATAGTTTCACCCCCCAAACCGTTGGGTGTTGAGCAAGAGGGGTCGGTGCAGCCCCTAAACTGGAGAAGGATGGGGAGACCAGATGTGGGAAAGTGGACACACTCATCAACTGACGTAAAAACACAAGAGGGACGGGAGGAGGGCAGGATTTAAATTGGGGTGTTAAAGAACTTTTATTCTTTGATTTCCCAGTATACTGAGCAATGTTTTGCTCTGTCTCTTTCCTGTGGTTTCTGAAGATGAACTGTCTTCTTACGTGATCTTTGCCATCTCGCCGTTTTTATCGCCTGGTGTAATCTGGAAACGTTCTCCTTCCATAGTCGTGATTTACAGGCATGAGGCCGTGTCCACGTCTGCAGGGCAAGGGGAATTCCTTGGGTCATACGGAGTTTAGAGAAATTCCGGGACAGCGTGTGCCCCAAGTGCGTCTACGTCTAGTTACGTCTCCCCTCCGTTTTGCACACCCTACCAAACTCACTGCCATGGAGCTGTGCACCCCCGGTAGGTAGATGACGACTCTCAGCTACGAGGTAGAACTTTGCCTTGCTCTACAGAAGCACAGGGAGCGCGTTCCAAAGTAAATCATCTGTCCCTCCACCAGAGGCTGAAAAGGGAACCCCCCTTTGTTTGTTTTTTAGCAAAATAACAGCTTGGTGCTGCGAGTCGCGGTCGGAGCAGGGGTTCGAGGCTCGGTTCGCGGCCCCGCCTCCCTTGCCGTCCGCCAGCCCAGTGGCTGGGACTCCGAGGGACGGGATGCAGGTGAAGGACGTGGCTTTCTTGCCCGGGAGCAGAAGGGCATATAGCGGCTGACGGCTTTCTCCTGCGGTACCTACAGGGGGCTTTGAATGAAGTCGCACGCGAATCAAAATTCCTGAAATAGTTTCCCACTTTTTTACCCGTTAAAAAAATTCACAAACCAAACTCACAGACAGCGAGAGGATTATATTAGCTTTAATTTTCCTTTGTGATCTGTTGGTTACCACACCTCTATCAGCCCTTCAGGATCAGCACTGGCACCGTAAAGTTTCCGTAGTGTAGTGGTTATCACGTTCGCCTAACACGCGAAAGGTCCCCGGTTCGAAACCGGGCGGAAACAGCTGATTACTTTTCTTTGCCCCTCACCAATTAGTTTCGTGGAATGCTCTCTTTTACTCCGGAATTGTTTTCTTTTTAAAAAAGGTATGATTTTTGTGATAAATTTGAGGGATTTTAATTTTCACTTTAATTTTGTATTTTTTTCTCATTCACCGTGTTTTTATTGAACGTTTGCCGCCTGTACAAAGTGTCCTCCACATTAAAAAAACAGAAATTGATGCCCAATCTGATACTGGAAACATAGTGGTGTAGAAGGTGAAATCAAAATTAAAAAAAAAAGTGTCAGTCCTTTCACCTCTTTATCTTTGTATATAATTTATCAATTTTTGCACCTGTTTTCCCATCAAAACCAGCTCTTACTCTTCCAAAACTGTAGTGTCTGCCTGAATATTGAAAGAAAAGGAAAGCAGCCAGTGTATTCTGATCGAAGGCATCAATAGCAGAAGTGTGCTCTGTAGCTCGCAGTGGCTGTTCTTGTCTGCAAGTATTCTAGATTTCGAAGGTACCTCTGGATCGTCTCGGCCCATCCAGCTTTTCGGAGACTCTCCATTTATTGCTTGCGCCCCTCAGGAACTCCTAATGCCGAGTCCCAACCACGAGCACAGGGCAGAATTGCCCCTTGGGTTTTCGAGGCTCTGTTTATAGTAGAAAGCCTTCCTTTTCTCTCTTTTCTCCCCAGTAGAGCCTCATAACAGGTTTGAAATAAATTACAGTAACGGTTTCGCCCCATCCCCGGTGGAGCAAGAACGCAAAGTGCACACAGAGAAGGCGAAATCAAGAAGAACCAGCCAGCTTCAAGGAACGGTGCTGGTTTTCTTCCCAAGTGTCGCTTGCCGGCAAGAAATACATCAGAACGAACGCAAGAAGAGGTCTAGGGAAGCAGAAATCCTAGTTGGAAAAATAACACGTTCCCGCCAAGGCTTGAATAAAATAGTGGGTATATTGCTTATGATCCTCATAGTTCCTCACAAGGAATGTTGAAGGTTGATTTTGTGAATTACGTTGTCCAAGGGCCCTGGGGATGAATCTATCACATTCCAACACTTTCCTGAGTTCCTGCTCCTTTGGTATATTACATAAGTAAGGGAAATCCTTTACCTTAACTTTAAAAAGGCCGAATTCGATATAAACATTGCATTAAAATGTTCCTTGACCAGGCGTAGGAAAACCTTTTCCGGTACGAAGCCACCTTCCTTTCATGTTGCGCATGCCCAGTATGCCCAGCTGCCTGCTCGGCTCGAGCACCACCGTCTCCCAATCGCTCCGGGTAAGGACGTCCTGGCAACGGGGCCGAGGCAGACAAAACTTAGGAGGTCCGATAGCTCCAGGGTAGGTAAGCAGTAAAGTGAGGCTCAGGGTCCGTTCAAGAATTCCCTTTGGCTAGGAGATCGAGAGTACACAAAGCAGCCGTTCCCATTCGCCGGGGGTGGGTGGGGGGCGGGGTGTCTGGAGGAAGGAGAGGACGACGGGAGAAGACCGGCGACTACAAGTCCCAGCATGCCGCTCGCAGCTGGACTCTGGGACCGCGACCCGCGGTGCGTCGGCACCCGACGTCGGCCTAAAACCAGGCCGAGAGCCAGGTGCTGCCGGCCGACTCGAAGGCTCAGAATGAGGACGACCGTGGGGCCCTGTGCAAGACCTCTTAGGTGTCCCGTCCACGTCGCCCCTGTTATGGGGGAGACCCCGGCCTGCTGGACGTTGGGGTCTTCGGGCCAGGCGGTCCCGCGCAGGCTGCAGTCAGGCCCCGGCGGTCCCGGAGCCTCCTGCGTTGCTAGGCAACCCCCGGAGCCGGACGTGACGCCGCCGTGGTGGGGGAAGGGAGAGGCGGAGCGTGCGGCCGTGACGTCCTCCCAAGATGGCGGAGAGAGAGTGAAGAAACTGTGCGCCCCTTGGGTTGCTGTCGGTGAGTTGGGTCTTCAGCTGCAGCTCTGGGTCCCCGGTCTTCCCCGACCACGGACTATCGGGGGGCAAGATTCTTGGGTTTCGAGCTTAGGTGGAGGTGAAGGTGTTCGCGTGGAAAGAGCGAGGGTGCCCAAGCCGGGAGAGTGGCTTTGGCGACCAGCCCTTACGTGGGCATTTGGGCGAGTGGGCACTAAGCTGTGGGCCTGGCGGCCCAAGTCCGGCAGGCACCGGTCTTGGTGGTCACTCGCAAGTCCCACCCGTGGGGGAGAGGGAGCAGGGGTGGGGGGAGGGTTCAGGAGCGTAGCCCCCTCTGGACCGCTGACAGAATCGTTGACAGCCCTCAAGCCCTGCGCCTTGCCTGCTTTCTGGGCACCCGCCTTGCCTTTTAGACTGTTATATCACTGAAGCGAAGCGAGAGCTTTTGGTAATCTGACAGCCATTTTAAAGGACTCATACCATGCCTAGTCCCTGCGTTCCTCAGAGCGTCCTTTTTAGCATTAAAAAAATCTTTTGTAATAGGCATGTGCCTACTGAGCTTCTGGGAGGGTGTGCAGATGCACTTGTGAAATCTTGCTGTGCTTTTTCAGCTCATTGAAGTAATTTTATTCATCACTTACTGGTGGGCCCAATGGATTGTGTTAGCTGTCCAAGAAACTTTTTTAAAGAAGTCAGTTTCTCTAATTTCATACGCATTTTAAAACAGTATCTCTGTAATAAGTACTTCTGTGGGGATAAAACAACACTTTTAATTTTGTTCTTGGGAAAACGTTTGATGGAAATTTATGGTTACTGATTTACTTTTGTTTTGTTTTGTTTTTGTCTTTTAGAAGAAGGGTAAAATTCATTCTGATAACAAAATGCAGTATTCCCACCACTGTGAGCACCTTTTAGAGAGACTGAACAAACAACGAGAAGTAGGCTTTCTTTGCGACTGCACTGTAGTGATTGGGGACTGCCAATTTAAAGCTCACAGGAATGTGCTTGCTTCCTTTAGTGAGTATTTTGGTTCAATCTACAGAAATACTTCTGAGAACAATGTCTTTCTCGATCAGAGTCAGGTGAAAGCTGATGGATTTCAGAAACTGTTGGAGTTTATATACACAGGAACTTTAAATCTTGACAGGTAAAGTATGCCTTTCATTTTTGTGTATAAAAGCTCATTGATTATGTTTAGAATTATGGTAGGTTTGTATTTTTCTCTTCTGCCTGTGAACTCAAAGTCTTTGAATATTGATGTGCATTTGTTGTTAAAAAGAAGACGTCATTGTCACGTTAGGAATGAACAAAAAACATAGGGTTATATAAGCATGAAAAGCACAAATATTGATGAGATTAAAATTTCATTTATGATGACTCATTTGGCTTAGCTGCTGAAACGAAGTTCATGCATTCATTTATGTAAACATGCTAGGGGATCAAGCACAATGAATTCTGCATTCCTGTTTTCCCACTGCTGTTTGGTCTGTGTTTCTCCAGTCTTCCTTTCTGTTTTCTGTTGCTTCTCTCGTAGTGATTGAGATAGGGGCGTATGGGTAGGAATGTGGGCAAGGAAGACCGACTACTTGAGAATCATCCTCCCGTTTCCAACCATAAATAACAAGGCATGGAGTGTTTCCAACTTGATTCTGGAAAACAACTTCTTTGGAGCATAAATGGCAGTCACATCTCTTACCTCTGGAAAACTACTGGTACTAATGCTTCCATCTGATTGGAGAGGCTAGAGTGCTTAATGCTTTCACTGCACCAACAAGCACATTCCATGGGACGTTGATAACTATTTATGAACATATGAACTATTTAATTAGATTAATTTTATTGGTTTCACGGGGGGAGGGGATGGAAGAAATAAAAGGCCCTTCATATTACCCGTGTTTTTCCATCTCTTAGAAGATTATGAACGTGAGTAGATTTTGCATAATCTCATCCTGTAGAAAGATTACAGTCAAGTCATTTCCATCTCATGGCGACTGCACTTTGAGTTAGAGTAGGACTACATTGTAGGGTTTTGGATGGCTTATGTTTTCAGAATGAGATCAGCAGGCTTTTCTTCCATGGTGTCTGTGGGTGGACTCGAACTTCTACCCGGTTGGTTAGCAGCAAGTGTGATAAAATTTATACAACCCAGGCACTCCATGGGCTTTAGAATTAGCTCTTGTCTGTCAGTCACTGTAACTTCTTGAGCAAGATGTAACCTCTGAAGGCCTCTAGTTTCCCTATCTGTAAAAATAAGTTGGTAATAGCCACCTTGGTGTTTGTGTGATTAAGAATTTACTTGAAGGAGGGAGCATTAAGTTATAGACATATTGTAGTCATAACTGAACATCTGTGGGATTGATTTCTCGGTTTGAAGGTTTTGGAGCAGTTTCAGTTAGGACAACTCAGTTGGCTTAATGTATTAATAAAGGTGTGCCAGTCTGCCCTACTTTGATGCGTGGGGTTTGCCTTGGCCCTAAGTCTACATTTCTGAAAAAAGGAGACACGTGAAATTTTACCAGCCAATGGTAATATTTTACCATTTACTAATATTTTTATATACTTTCATGCGTTTCTGAGTGACTTATAGAGATACAGTAAAACCTTTGAAGGCTAGAACCTGTGTAAGGTAGAAACATGTCAGGGAAGGGAAAACTCAAATATTCTCCACTAATACAGGGTGTTAAGAAAGTGGAAAGGGAGACGCCGGACAGGGCAAGATATGACAAAATACCCATTTATAAACTATCAAGGGCTCATGCGGGAGGGGGGAGCGGGGAGGGAGGGGAAAATGAGGACCTAATGTCGGGGGTTTAAGTGGAGAGAAAATGTTCTGAGAAACGATGTACAAATGCGCTTTACACAATTGATGTGTGTATGGATTGGGATAACAGTTGTATGAGCCCCTAATAAAATGTTTAAAAAAAAATTAAAGAAAGAAAGAAAAAAAAAAAGTTGGAAAACGTTGAGAGCCAGAAAACCCTGTGGAGCAGGACTGTTGTGCACCTACCGGGCTGCTCTGCGTTAGTGGCCGGGTCATGAAGTAACCATAAAGCTGTTGGATTTTGATGCTGTTTCAATTCAGTCCTTTTCCCTTCCTCCTTAACTACCTATACTCGTATATAAGCCGGGTTTTCAGCACACCTTTAATGTAGTTTCTGTGGTAAAATAAGGTGCCTCGGCTAATATATGTGGCATATCAGATATATGCGGTATATCTCTCTCTCTGTGTGTATATATATACACACACCTGTGGATATATATATCACATGTGGATATATATGCACCATATATGTGTGGTAAAATAAGGTGCTTTGGCTGATATATACGGTATGTCAGAATGAATCTTTTTAAAGAATGAATCGTGTTGAATTGATTTGAGCACTTTTTTTAAAATCACTTTATTGGGGGCTTGTACTCTTAGCCCATTGAACACGCCCTTGAGCACTGTTCTTTGACCCTCGTGTTCATGTAGAGAACCAGTATGAAGAAGGGGTGTACGCTTTCTTCAATCCTTTCTTGGTACATATTTTTCCTGACCCAGCCAGAACTGTAAGGAAAAAACAATATCTACAGCCGTAAGACTTGTTGAATAAGAAAACAGGTAGATGAGTTGAGAATTAAGTAGGCTCGGGAGCCTTGTCAAGTCTTGAGTGATTTTGAACAAGTTATTTCATTTTTTTGAACCTCTGATCCTTCATTTATATGTAAACTGAGGTTTATAATGGGTTTCATAGGCATGGTCTGAGGATTGAGGTAATTGCATAAAGCATTTAGCTACATACCTGGCAATATACTTGTATAGTTTCATGACCATTGTGACTGTTGGAAAGATAAAATTATTTTGTAAGTGCTATACTTGTAAATAAAGCACAAGATCAACTATGGAGGTAAACAAATGCGAATTGGTTCTCTTAAATGTGACTCAGATTGTGGGCTGATCTACTCAATAATCATGAATGGCCATTTTTTTTGGTCTAGGGATCCTTTTTATAGTGAATTTTAGGTGTAAGTTTACAGAGTAGATAATCAGTTTGACATTTAGCGACTTATGTATATATATATTGTCATCTCCTTCATTGCCCACCCCCTCTGTGTTCCTGTCTCCTTTCCTCCTCCTCTCTGGACCCTTCTGAACTTTGTCCTTGGGCAGATGCTGCACTCCTTCATCCCAAAGGGCCAGGTATTCTTAGGTGTGCAATTGTTCCCCCTTACTTACTTGTCTATTGTTTGGCCAAAAATTGAGCTACAGGAGTAAGTTCAGGTGACCAAGGGCCAAAGTTTAGGGGTTTTATCAGTCTCTACCCAGCCAGTAAACCTGGTCTCTCACATGATTTTGAGTTCTCTTACACATATTTCTCTCTCTCTCTGGAGGTTCTAGGAGATCCTTTTAGAGCAGTTGGTAGTGGTAGCCAGACACCATCGAGTTCTGTGCTCAAGGTGGTTGAGACTGATGTTCATGTGGACCATTAGTTCAGAATAATTTTTTCTGCGTGTCTTCTATCTTCATCAATCTTCTTTCCTTCAGACAGGGAGAAACCACTAGTTATACCTTTGATGGACCCCGGACGAGCTTTTAAGACCCCATATGCTACTTGCCAAAGTAGGAGGTAGAGTGTTGTCTTTGTAGACAGTGTTTTGCCAGTTGACTGTGGTGTCCCTGAGACTATAATCCTGAGCCCCTAGGCCCAGTGAATCGTTTATTCCAGGTAGAAATGAATGATACTTGAAAATTATTATTATGAGCACTAAACAAATACATGTGACTTAATGCTAGATTATATTAGTCTTAAAGGCTACCTGATCATGTTATCTGTTAGGTGGTTCACTTTATGGAACACCAAACAATTACAGATTGGGAGCCAAAGATTGATTAGTTTTAATTAGTACAACATTTGTTTGTTTGTTTGTTTGTTTTCATCTGAGCAGATGGCATGGGGCCACGGTTGACCTCCTGCAGCTTCAGTAGGGAGGAGAATCACCCTACACGCCAGTGCAGGGCCGATTGACAGGAAGCAGAAGTTAGACTTGCCTCGACCCTCCATCCTGTACCTTGTTCTGATGCGTTATCCCTCCATGGTACTCTACTTCTCTGCTGAGTTTGAATCCGTTGCAGTGACTATACAGAACTCACAGACAGTAGTCACAATTAGGGATATATTAAAGAAGCTAACAGGTTACAAAATGGTAAGCATGCCGTTCTTTTATCCTCAACACCTCTTAGGCAGTCTGGCAGCATGTCTCTCTGGTCCCTAGCCTCTGAACCACGTAGTCCCTTGGCCTGTGCCTTGTTCCCTGGGCTGGGAAAGCCGCTGCTTGGCCTCCCAGCTAGGTGTTACTCCTCGGCTGTCTCATCTTCTCAGTGCTCCGCCCTCTGGGCTTCTCTTGCCTTTGCCACTTCCGAGAGGAATCTCCACAGGCTTTTGAGTTAGAGGCTTTCATATACTTTCATACCACCAAGGCATTTACAAAAGTGATGAACAGAAGAGCCATTTTAACCAATTTCACTTCTGCACATCATCCCAGTAGTATCTTTGAGACATAGCTTTATAATGGATTATATAATCTGATGCTTATGAATAACTGCTGTTTTTGTAGACTGATGCTATATGAGTTCATGCAGAAAACACTTTATAATTGGCAAGTAAGATTGTGTCTATTTCTCAGTCATTGTTATTTCTTTGCAAATAGATAACTTGAATCGTCGTGTATTCAAAAAATAGCCAAGGACCATTAAAAAAAATCTTAGATAACATGTTCCTAATGATGGGGAAAGGCCCAATTTGCACAGAGATTGTGTTGTCAACGTTTATTTGTAATTCGAATGTGTTTAGAAACTTGAGAAGGGTTTTCCTAGAGAATAAACTGTTCTCTAAATAAGGTTTTCCAAACTACCTATACATCTGTTTAACTTACAGCGAGCTGGAAAAATTGTTATGTTTATAATGAAAGACAGGTTTTAAGAAGTGATTTTAATGCTAAATTATGTAAAGGAAACACAGCACTTGATGGAAGTAGGTTTCATTAGAAAATGATGAGGAAACCAGGAAAATATTTCTGTTTTGAAGGATGTTTTCAGAGACCATTAGCGGTTCATGACACTCACTGCCATCGAGTTGATTCCCAACTCATAATGACCCTGTAGGACAGAGTGGAACTGCCCTGTGGATTCCCAAGAATCCTGAGGCTGTAAATCTTTACACAATTAGAAAAGCCTCATCTTTTTCTCCTGAGGCTCTTAGGGGTTTGAACTGCGGACCTGTCTGTTAGCAGCCCAACTCGTATCTTACTTTTAATTCCCCCCACCCCAGACTTCAGGCCTTAAAAATAAATGTGTATTATGTACACTCTTATCAGTTATGATTAAAATTATTTAGTGGCTCTTACATATAATGAAGAGGAAAAGGGGAAAAGAGATCTTTTTCCTGAAGAACTAAATGGTATTTGGGAAAGAAGGCATAGTTTGGAAGGTTACTTGAGGACGTGCCCCCTCAAATAAGAGTGTGGGCCATCAGCTGGTATCATCAGGATCATCATGGTGTATGTTAGAGATGCATAATCTCAGTCTCCACTGAATCTCAGTCGGACTTTTAGCAAGATCTCGGAGAAAAGGAGTGGTGGTGATTCACTTGCACAGTAGAATCTGAGTACTGTTCATATCCCCGATAGGGGAGCAGAGAAAGAAAGGTATTTTTATTAGATGCTTCCTGTTGCCAATCCAGAAAAAGTGGGTACTATGTGAAGATGTCTCAGGATAAAGTGGAGGGGGCTGCAAGTTGTTAAAAGTTGCTATCTTGTTCTAAACAAGCAGAATTTTTAACATTTTTTGTTTCTTTAGTGGTCCGTAGGCAGCTTTGAGTAGCCATACTTTATCTTTTCACGTTCTGTGAAATTAGAGGTTTTTTTTATATGAACTGTACAATGAATGAGTTACCTTTGGACATTCTCTTAGGCAATTTTTCAGCATTCAGTTTCAGTATAGGTCTTTAAAAGACATTGAAGTATATGTGCAGCTGTGTTTCAGAAGCAGTTTTTCTTGGATCAGAATATTGTCATTTAGCCTTGTTTCCTTACAGTTGGAATGTTAAAGAAATTCATCAGGCTGCTGACTATCTCAAAGTGGAAGAGGTGGTCACTAAATGTAAGATAAAGATGGAAGATTTTGCTTTTATTGCTAATCCCTCTTCTACAGAGATATCTAGTATTACTGGAAACATTGAATTGAATCAGCAGACTTGTCTCCTTACTCTACGAGATTATAACAATCGGGAGAAATCAGAAGGATCTACAGACTTAGTTCAGGCAAACCCTAAGCAAGGAGCTTTGGAAAGGAAGTCATCTCAAACTAAAAAGAAGAAAAAGGCTTTCAACTCACAGAGTAAAACAGTGCAATATCCCAGTGACATTTTAGAGCATTCTTCTGTGGAATTACTCCTGGACACAAATAAGTTGTGCACACCCATAATAGAGCAAGTTGCACAAAGAAATAATCATTCAGAACTTGAGTTGACATCAGTTGTGGAAAATACTTTTCCAGCACAAGATATTGTGCAGACTGCCACAGTGAAACGGAAACGTGGAAAGTCCCAGCCAAACTGTGCTCTGAAAGAACACTCCATGTCTAATATAACCAGTGTCAAGAACCCTTACGAGCTGGAGAGCTCTGGGGAAGAGCTGGATCAAAGGTATTCGAAGGCCAAGCCAGTGTGTAACACGTGTGGGAAAGTGTTTTCAGAAGCCAGCAGCTTGAGAAGGCACATGAGGATACATAAAGGAGTCAAACCTTATGTCTGCCACTTGTGTGGGAAGGCGTTTACCCAGTGCAACCAGCTGAAGACGCATGTAAGAACGCATACAGGTGAGACCGAGGGGGGTGATTGTCCATAGTGCTGTGACAAATGCTTCTTAGTGTGTACCACTGGAGCAAATCTGGCTACTTGTGCTCTAAATCTGGTGTATTTCTGTTTGTTAAAGTATTTAGTAAGTTAGGCTCTTGGAAATGTCTGTGTATAGTTCTTGCAAAGTACTTTGTAACGGCTTTTTTGTTATTTACTGTTTAATTTCTAACCAATGGAAGTCCCAGCGTGAGCTCCTCCTACCTTCTCCCTTCACAATTAAAATATGCATACACTTGGTTCTAGTTTGCTGAGTATTTAACAGAGACAAAGATAGTAAAACTGATCAAGAGAAAAGGCTAATTCTGAGATCCTGCAACACATGTCACCTGGCCGATTTCTGAACTTGTTTATTAGAATTACACTTACATTCCTTCCTTAGCCTCTACATTTATCCTTATTCTGCAGATCATTTCTCATGATAAAGGGTGAATGCTCATTAATTCCCCTAGTTTTGTTACTCTTTAAGATGCTATGTATGTACATACACACACATAAATACATATATATGTTCCTTATTGACACTGGTCACCATACAAATTGAAAAACACTAATTTCTCTTAACTCTCTTAGTGAATCTGGAAAAATGGATCCAATTTGCTTTTGCTTCTACAGTAAACATTTTCTGAAGAACTAAATAGTTTTGTTTTGTTTTTAAGATTTTTTTTGAAAAGCTTATTTGGCTTGAACAAAGAAAACAGTAGTATTACCTTCTAGGTATACATTTTATTTACTTTTTCTTTTAGGTGAGAAGCCATACAAATGTGAATTATGTGATAAAGGATTTGCTCAGAAATGCCAGCTAGTCTTCCATAGTCGCATGCATCATGGTGAGGAAAAACCTTATAAATGTGATGTATGCAATTTACAATTTGCAACTTCTAGCAATCTCAAGATTCATGCAAGGTAAAAAAAAAAAGTCAATTGATCTTTTAGTTAACTGTCCTTCACCATAATCTTATGAGGAATGACACAATGGTCTCAAGTTGTCTGACTCATGGCAACCATGTATGACAGAGTAGAATTGCTTCATGGAGTCTCTAAGGCTGTAAATCTTTATGGGAGCAGGACAGTAAGAAAACCACCTGACAATTACAAAGATTGTCCAAAACACACACACACACCTCTCAAAACTAATGCTTTTATAATAACCAGAACATTTACATACTTTTGGCAGGTTTTATAGTGAAAAACAGCTGCCAATTTAAAGATTACATTCTTGATCCTGTTAAGGTGAAATGAAATCAATTAATTGTGTAGAAAAATGATGATGATGAAGATGATGTAACTGATCAACCTGTAACTTTGCTTGTTTACCATCAGGAAGCATAGTGGAGAGAAGCCATATGTGTGTGATAGGTGTGGACAGAGATTTGCCCAGGCCAGCACCCTGACCTATCATGTGCGAAGGCACACTGGAGAAAAGCCTTATGTGTGCGACACCTGTGGGAAAGCCTTTGCCGTCTCTAGTTCTCTTATCACTCATTCCCGGAAACATACAGGTAAGAGTTGGACACACAGACTGCTTCGAAGAAGGAAAGGTGTCGTGGAACCAAGAAAAAGGGAAATAGGGATTTTCTGAAAGGAAATTGTTGATTTTTGTAGTTAGAGATCTGCATTTGTACCTTCAGAAGTTGTTAGCTTTATGATTTTCATATAAATATTAGATATAAAAGTGGACCTATTTTCTAGACTAATACGAAGGGTCTGTTTTTATCATGTCCCTTGGACACATTAATGTGAATGAGAAGAGTTTGGCAGCATAAGCCAGCTAGAACGTGTGTCATGGCCTCAGAACAGTTCCTTCAGCTCAGAGCTGCTTTTCTCTTCAGTAAATTTACGGAGGCCTTAGAGGGTGAAGGTGGGTTTGGGTACAATGTTGATTTTATTACCTCTTAGGACCAACACAGACATTCTGAGATTTGCACATTAAACTGTGTTAACACATACTTCAAATACAAACTATCAGTTTGAAGCAGACTATTCAAATATTTCCTCCATTTTGTAGGATATATCTTTTTTCAAAGTGGAAACGTTCCTACATGCATGCTTTTCTTTTAACAGCACACTCCATAAGAAGAACTAAAATATGGGTTGATGCATGCACATTTTTGAAACTCATCTCTACCTAGTCCACCTCTGCTAGAAGGGGTCTTTGCTGAAGTTTCTGTATATGGAAAGCTTCAGGTTATGTGAAAAGAAAACAATTACTGATAATCATTCACGTTGGATTACTGAAAATACCTCTGAAATATTGTATCAAGAGGCTTTCATGTAATATTTTAAAACAATTGACGTAAATTATTTGTAATTATTATTGTGTTGGTTTAGTACACCACTTCGCTATCTTTTATTTTTCATCTAGGTGAAAAACCATACATTTGTGGTATTTGTGGGAAAAGTTTTATTTCCTCAGGAGAACTCAACAAACACTTTCGATCCCATACAGGTCTGTGTTTAGGGAGAATGCATTTTGTTGTTGTTTTCTCTAATTTCTTGTTATGTAAACGTTTTACTTTTAAACCATGATTGATTGACTCTGGTAGCTAGTTAGCAACATTTTAATGTATAAATATAACTTTTTAGCTTGCTTATTTGTTTAGTTATTTGGAGTATGAATTAAGCTTACTCTAGAACTGTACTGATTTTCCAGAAATATGCTGGATAATCATTTTTTAATGAGTTGGATTAAATTGCACAGATAAAGATGTAAATAATTTCAAGATAACAGATTTTCTTACTAAACCATATTTTTTTTTTTTTTCTTACTAAACCATATTTAGTACACAACTTTATGAATAAATTTTGGTGTTGACATGCTTCTTGTCAATGTCTGTTAGTAGTATGAAGAAAATATTGAGAAAAAAAAGAAATTGGAAAAAAAAGTATCCATAATTTTTATGTATAATAGTTTGAGCACCTAGTAGAGTTTAAATAGGTAACTTACTGACAATTTCTATAATCTAATGTTCCTCCTAGCATTGGAATTTTCACTTTAAAAGAATTATAATTTTGTAGCATTTTATTGTGAGAGTACTTTTAAAAGATTCTGATATGTGAGCTATGAGAGTGGAAGCCTTCCTTTTTTCTTTTTCCGTAGTTGTACCTCTAGCCAGGATCAGGCATATAATTGACATAAGTGTTTGATAGGAACAAAAGACTAAATTACTTTATTAGTTTGCAAATAATTTCCTGCTAATGATGGTGCTTACTTTTCCCTAAAATGAGGCTGCCGTATATAAAGTGCCTATGAGTATACATATTTTCATTTCATTGTTGAACCCAATGATTAAAATTTATCATTTGAAACCCAGTGTTACAAGCAGTTTAATTTTTACTTTGTGTTCATAAGCATTGTTATTTTTGTCTTAACTAGCAGCTTCTAAAATACTGAGATTTTGAACTTTTTTCTC